TTCCCCCCCTTCATTTTTCCCTTCCTACTATCTTCTTCTTTTTTTTTTTAACATATAATGTATTATTTGTTTCAGAGGTACAGGTCTGTGATTCAACAGTCTTACACAATTCACAACACTCACCATAAACATCGGGGTGCACATACCCCTTTGGATCACTACATTTGTATCTTTGGGGTAAATACCCAGGAGTGCATCATTAGCATTTGATGTAGTGTTCCATGATTCATTGTTTTTGTATAACATCTCATTTTTATTATTTTTAGTTTTTGATGTAGTGATCCATGATTCATTGTTTGCATATAACACCCAGTGCTCCATGCAGAACGTGCCCTCCTTAATACCCATCACCAAGCTAACCCATCCCCCCACCCCATCCCCTCTAACACTCTCAGTTTGTTTCTCAGAGTCTATAGTCTTTCATGGTTCATCTCTCCCTCCGATTTCCCCCCGTTCATTTTCCCTTCCTTCTCCTAATGTCCTCCATGCTATTCCTTATGTTCCACAAATAAGTGAAACCATATGATAATTAACTTTCTCTACTTGACTTATTTCACTTAGCATAATCTCCTCCAGTCCCATCCATGTTGATGTAAAAGTTGGGTATTGATCCTTTCTGGTGGCTGAGTAATATTCCATTGTATATATGGACCACATCTTCTTTATCCATTCATCTGTTGAAGGGCATCTCAGCTCTTTCCACATTTAAAATGAGTCAGGAAGCCCTGAAGGGGGCACTCTTCTTGCACATACTGCTCCTGGCAGCAGGCAGCACCAGCAGGAAGAGAAAAGATAAAAATTATCTTGACGAGGAGGACATTTTTCACATAGGAATTTGATCTCCTGCTTTTAAGAAAAAGAAGGAAACCCCTCCCTGTCCCGGCAACTGCACACTAAGCCCTCCTTGCAGCCAATGAGAAACCACCACAGTCTGAAACACTTGTTCTTCTCCAGTGAACTTTTGTTCAAAATAACCCTCCCTGATTTCCTCCTAAAACCTAATAAAAGCTCACCTTCCTTTTGTCTCTTTGGACTTTCCTATGGTTCACCATACTGTGTATGTCCTGAATTGTGATTCCTCTGCTATCCCCAAATAAACTCACTTTGCCAGTAAAATAACTGGCAATTTTATTTTTTAAGGTTGACATAACCAGAGAACTTACAAAATCACTAGAGTTGGAGAGTATGTGAGTTTTAGAAACAAACCAGGCAAACTTCTTCAGCATGTCCATCAGTCTGAGGTGAAAATTTGGTGGTCAGATAACATCTTCCGACAGAGCACAATGAAGCCTGTGGCAGGAGGCACATTAAGCAAATCTGTGTAAACCTGAAACTAAGTGTCCTGTTCAAGGTTGAGCAGGAAGACCTTCTGACAGCGGGCAATTACCCTCCCTCCGCTTTTAATCTCAGCCTCCAAACCAACTGTCAGTGGGATGTGGAAAGCCTACTGCCAGGAAGAATGGGTTTTTTTGTTGTTGTTTTTTAATAAGATCAATGTGCTAGAAAAGTATACCCATTGATGCATTGTCTTGTGGGTAACATTGGTCCATGTTACCCATAAATGATCCATGGCAGGAGATAGGCTGGAAATGATGAACGAAGACTGAGTGGGCCTTGGTGGCTGCCTTTGGGACTTCCAAGGGACAGTATGTGGTACTCCCACAGGGCAGTGTGAGGGGAGTAAAGAGAATGATCTGGTCCTGGGTTTGAGGAGTTTCAGTACACAGTGGGACTTTCAAAGAAATTTGTGGCAACCAGGTAGAAATATAGGATCAGATCTCAAAATAAGGACCTGGCATGAAGGCAGATGTATAGGGGTCCCCTCTATGGAAGCATTGAATGTGGCCAATAGTAGCTTTGAGTGTGGAAAAGGGGTTCTTCATTCAGAGCCCATGACAGTGGGTATAATTTGGGGATCTATAACCCCGCTAAAGTTATATGCAACATTTTATGTAGATATTAATGAATGCTCAAATGGACTTTTTAATTGCGGCAGATGTCAAAGTGAGGTGCCAGAGAAGAATATGAAATTTCTCACAGAAGGAGAAGACCCACAGATGTTGAGGAAATAAAAGTCAGGAGTTGGAGAGCAGAGGGAAAGTTTTAAGCAAGGTGGGCTCCTGTCCAAACCTCACCAAAGCGACAAGCTGAGATTGACTCAATGCTTTCTAGCTGGGCACACAAGAAGGGGCTGGCTGGAACTGGTCTGAACAGAGAGAGCTGGGGGGGGGGGGGAAGGCCCACACTGCTTAGCCAAGAGAAACCAAGGGATTCCCTTGGGGGAACCAACCAGCTGGAAGACAGAACATTACACTGCAATGACAGGCAGACTAGTGTCCCCCAAAATATCTCTGTCCAACCCTTGGAATCTGTGAATAGGCTGCCTCCAAAAGCAAAGGGGATTTGCAGGTGTGGTTAAGTTAAGGTTCTTGAGTTGGAGAGGTCATCCTCAGTTATCTGGGTGGGCTGAACATAATCACAGAGGTGCTTGTGAGAGGGAGGTGGAGAGTCAGAGAAGGACAGATGGCAGAAGAATCAGAGGTCAGATGACATATTGAAGATGCTTCACTGCTGGCTTTGAAGATGGGAAAGGGGCTATAGGCTAAGGCATACAAGCTGGAAAAGGATAGAAATGGGTTCTTCTCCAGAGCCTCCAGAAGGAATGCAACCCTGCCAACACCTTAATTTTAGGATTTGTAATCTCCAGAACTGTGAGATAATAAATGTGTGTTGTCTTAAGCCAGTGTTGATGGTAACTCATTACAGCAGCCCTAGGAAACTAACAGAGCTTCCAAGAGAGCTATGGAGGAGAGGTTACTAGCAGTGGAGGCTGGGGGAAAGCCAGGAAGGGACTCAAAGAACAGTACACTGCACAATTCCCAACAAGTCCAGGAGCACTGCAGCTGGAGCCAAGTAGGGACTTCTCAGTACCCCCACCCCTTCTTCTTCCCCTGGTCCTCACACCAGAAGAGTCCTGAGGTAAGATGGTAAGATGGGGCAAATGGAACAGATGGAACAGATGGGGAAAACGAAAAAGGAGCTATCACTCCTCCCCACAGTCAGGACTTCAGGAGGGAGAAGTGCAGCTTCACAACACATTCCAAGTTCTGACCACTTGGAGAGACTGGTTCTTGATTACTGGATTGAGGCTGTATGTATTGTCTGAGAGTGCCTGAAAGGTTACAGGGGACAAATAGCACAGCTGAGTCCATTCAAAAAGACAGTGGAAAGTGAATATAAAGCCGTGTCATGACTTCACCCATACATGGAGTCTGCTCCCCATATGGGGCACAGCCTCTGTTTTCTGGGGAGCACTGGCTTCTCTGAGGGGAGCCATACACTTCCCAAATTTAAGAATTATTAACACAGAGCATTGTCTGGGTGGCTAGTAGGTTAACCGTCCGACTTCAGCTCAGGTCATGATCTCAGGGTTCTGGGATTGAGTCAGGTTCCCCATTCAGTGGGAGCCTGCTTGTCCCTCTGCCCCTCCCCTTGCTCGTGTTCTCTCTCTCTCTCTCTCTTTCTATCTCTCTCTCTCTCAAAAATAAATAAAATATTTTTTTAAAAGGTAAGAATTATTAACACAGGCAGTCACACCACTGCTTTCATCATGCCACCCCTTTGGGTCTCAACAAGGCTGGGTGATGCTTCAGAATGACACACAAGCCAATCTGGGAGCAGATTGGATCCAGTTTCATTCCACATGACAGAACCCAACTAGGCACAGTTTATACTGATGCATCATGCCTTACATGAGAAGGACAGTAGTTCCTGAGGAAAGCTTCCATTGTGGAGAAGTTGTCTTGTCTTCCATCCCAGAAAATCCAGCACAGCATCACGATGCAGAACCATCAGCCCACGCCAGATAGCTGCATCATCAGCATGGTTGTGGGCCAGTTCAAGGTTGATGAAGACCCCATCATGGGGTTCCACCAGATGTTCTTATTAAAGAACATTAACGATGCTTGGATTTGCACCAATCACATGTTCAGGCTTTCCCTGCACAGCTTCAGCTGGGCTCCTCCCAGCCAGGCACTCTTGCTGTTTCCTCCTTTCTCTTCTTCTTTATACTATTCACATTCCTCCAGATGCTCCAAATATTATATACAAATGAGCAGGGCCGTGGTGGGAGCGGGTTCTGTGCGCTGCTATTATGGAGGTATTGTGCAGATGTAGTTGCATCTGACAAAGTTTGTGTTGTACCAGCACATGCCTTGGAAAGTCTTAAGTAATGCAAAAGGTGGTCTTTTTATTTATTTATTTTTAATCTACTGACAAGTTGCTCTAGTAACGCAAAGAAGTGAAGGAGCAAATGCCTCACTGCCCAGATATTGATTTGTTCGGATATTTCAATGCTTCATGATACAATAAAACCACAAAAATTTTCTTTAAAAAAAAAGAATTATTAGCATAGAGGAAGAGACCAAGGTTTGGGCCTGACGGAAAAGTAATATCCTGGCCAGGCAGGGAAGAGGGAGAGGGTGATAAGAAGAGTCCAAGGGAAATCAAAGGACAGGGAGGATGTGGTGTTCACTTGGCTGACCTTTTGTGCTCCACTGCCCTGTGATCCAGCATCCCCCATGTCTCCATTGCTTCCTGTCACTCCAGACTGCCCACAGTGCTGGCTGAAGTGGGTTCAGTAGATAGAGGCCCCTGGCCTGACTTCCACCCAGATAATGCTGGGGCAGCAGGAGGGTGTGTGCTGCTAAGACAGAAGCCCCCCAAAAGAGAAGAAAAGAGCATTTGCATGAGTGTATGTGTGTGAGAGATGAACATATGCAAAAAGAAGAAGAGGAAGTAGGACTGAAATTGCCAACCATGGCAGAGTGTTCCTGCTCATTCACCAGGTCCAGCTACAGATGGAGAAGGAGGTGGAGGAGGGCTGTGGGTGTCCACCACTGACCATTTAAATCCAGCCAGGCAAGGAAGGTCAGTGGTATCCTGCTGGGCCCTGCAGGGTAAGGAGGGGGGTCTTCCTATTCCTCCCCAGCTTAGGGACAATGGCCAGACTCTGGCAGGCCCCGCGACTTCTGCTGGTCATCCTGGTAGCCCTGATGGCCCTCACCTACCAAGAAAAAAGGAAAACCTTTCTGAGTGTCAGAAAAGTTCCTGCATCAGAGCCCTATGTGATAGCCACCATGCAATATGTGATCAATGACTTCAACAAGAAGAGTAACGACAAGTACAATTTCCGGATTGTGCGTGTCCTGAAGGTCGAGCAGCAGGTCAGCTCAGCCCCCTCTCCTAGCCATGCCTCTCCAATGGGGACAGTCCAAAGGGGATGCCCATACAAGTGAAATTCAGCCTCGTTTAGTTTCAAGTGGGAATTTTAAGAGAAACAAATTCACTGGCATAGATGAAGTTACTTAAATGATACCTAAAACCAGGGGTCAACAGATTATACCCCAGGAGCCAAAGAGGACTGCTGCCCATTTTTGTAAATAGTTTTATTGCTGCTCAGCCATGCCATACATCATCCAGGGCTGCTTTTGAGCTACAACAGCGGTGTTGAGTACTTGCAACTGAGATTTCAGGGACTGCAAAGCCTAAAAGATGGACTCTCAGGCCCTTTACAGTTTATAGACCCTTGCCCAAATCAATTAGTATCATTTGAGTTGTCCAAGGGATGTCTTTGCCCAGAGATTTGAATGGCAAATAGATAGGAGTCAGATAGGAAGGGGAGAGAGAAGCCCACCAATTTGTCCAGGAAGGAGTGCTTGACCTTGGGCACCATGCAAAGGAGTTCTAGCCACCAGAACCTACAGAGAAAGGAGAAGTCCTTTTATCTCTTTGCCACTTGCTCCTCACAGATTACTGACCACATGGAGTATCGTGTGAACATGGAAATGCGGCGGACCACCTGTCAAAAGCTCGAGACTACTAACTGCTCCTTTCAGGAAGGGGAGCTTTACAAGGTACTGGGTGAATACACATTAATTCAGAAAGAACCCACTGGGGTTTTCTGTGGTTTTAGGATGAGGTAGGGTAGAATTACTGGGGGTATATTCAAGCCTGCTTGAAAAGAAAGCATAGGTAACACCAACTTGCTCAAAGAGGAAAAGTAAAGGTAAGAGTAACCAAGATCCTGCCTGGCAGGTGCGGTTCCTTTGTTGTTGAAAGAATTATGGGAGGTAAAGGGAGTCCAGACAGGGAGAGCCAAGGTGGCTGAATAACTGAATATAGCAATAGAGTAAAATTAGATCTTCTTGGATGTTAGTGATTGAGCTGATGGAGTTGGTAGTCTGATTTCTATTTTAGGAGAAATGTAAGTGTTTAAGCCTCCCACCCCACCCCCACCCTGGGCTTTCAAATGAAGAGCAAGAAAACAAAATCAAACTAAGAAATTATATTTATTAATTTTTTATTATGGGACAAGAGGGAAGTGAAAAAGAAAAGCAAAGTTTTGAGAGAGAATGGGGACAAGGGAAGGAGGGAGTGGGTGTGATGGATCAGTGGATGAACAGACAAAGAAAATGCAGGGAAGGAAGGATGGATGGTGATGGGTGAGTCCAAGTGGATGGATCCAAGTGGATGGATGATGGATGGATGAATGCATAGATGGATGGATGGATGGTTGGATGGATGGATGGATGGATGAAGTCAGCAGAGGCCATGTAAGGGAAAGTGTGAAGTAAATGACACTGGAGTAAAAATAGAGGAAAAAAGAATCACTAGTTCCTATTGTGAGTATGGCAGGATGGATCCTATTTCTAGTCTACAATTATCACCATAAACAGAAGGGCATTTGATGATCTCAGCAATACTACCATCAAGTGACTGAAATCAAAATAAAAGTCAAGTCATATTTGGATTGGAGGCATGGTGAGGTGGTGTCATCTTCCCCAACTGCATGTGTTATATCCTCTTCTTGCTCCTTTAAAATTTTCACTTTGCTTACCTTTTTAAAATATTGTTTTTGGTTTGTTTTTTTTTTAGCAAATTGAGTGCTTCTACTCAGTGTTTGTTGTTCCTTGGTTTGAAAAGTACAAAATTCTGAAAAAAAACTGCACCGATGTCTAGATGTCCTGGAGCACACACCTGCAATCATTATGCATGAAAGTATCCTGCAATAAGCAGTAATTCCCTTGACTTGACTTTAATATAGAAAATAAATGTTTGTCAAACTATTATCGTAATGCTCTTAACACTCTTAATGTTTATGATTCCACTCTTTTTTGCCAAATTCTTCAGTTCATAATAATATAATATTTTGGGCTAGGGCAGTTTGGGGATTCTAATCAGGTGATGTGGATAATTCCTGACCTTATAGCCTATACCTGCATGATAGCAGAACTTCAGCCTCACTTCAAGTAGGAGTCTTCAGACTGTAGAGTAAGTAGAAGATGAGAAGGAGGAGGAGGGAAGAAGCTGTATGTCACTTACCTGATTAGACAAAAGCTGTTTGCAAGTATGGCCTACAATGCCTTCTCTGAGGGCCCAATGAGGAGTATCCCTTTCCTTGCTTAAAGTGTCGAACAAGGACAAATAACACAAGTAATTTTAAAAGATAAGGGTCTTTGTTACTGATAAGGACTAAGTTGGGACATGTGTGTTATTTTTGCAGGAAAATGAACTAATACCAAACTCTATATTTACACCCCTAGCATCAGCAAAATTGGAGCAGGTCTCTTCATAGAGGACTTCCTCACTTGGAGTTACCAAGGAAAATATGTGCCCATGTGGGAAAGAGGAGGACCGGGGTACCATGACTTCTTTATTCATCTCAGATAGACAAATTAGAATAATTCCTCCAAGAGAGAAATGATTGAGGGTGAAGAGAAACTGGGAATACTATGTCAAAGGACTCCCTTTCTATGGGTGCCATATTAGCAGTGGGGAATGATCACACACACACCCCCAGCCAACAGCTTGATTCAGGATTTCAAACAATGTCACCAATTTCATCTCTCCACTCTACTTCCTCCATGTGGTCTCAGAGGGCTACCAGCTGGGTCACATCTGTCCTCATTCACATCCAGTAGGGGAGAAAAAGATCTCATCCCCAGGAACTGAGGAAAAAGCCTTGTGGTTTAATACCACTGGGGAACTCTAGGGACATTATAAAATACTTACACACACACACACACACACTCACACTCATAACTCTTTCTTACACACACACACACACACACACACACACACACACACATATCTACCTGAAGGGAGAGGGAGTGGGGTATTTATGCAAAAGCCCCAGTCAGTTATTGGCTGCAGAAGAGCTCCTAGGAGGCATTAATTCCCTAGAACCACTGGCCTGGGGTGGCTTGAGGGCAGAGCAGGCAGTCAGAGATAAAAGGGCATAGGTGCTGCATTTGGAGCTGGTGTGCACAGAAAGATAAGCTGTGGGAGGATAAAGGCAGAATGCCAATAGGGTACTCTTTCTACATGTGGACTGTATACAGGGATGCAAAATAGACACATCAATTCTCTACCAGATAGAGATAGCTGGGAGCTCTGAAAGAACAATATTTTTGCGTTCTACACTTCCTACCAAAGTTCTGGAATGCTCAGGACCCTGTTTCAGGTGGTGCCCAGGTGGGACACCCCTCCACCAACTATTCAGGAAAATGTTAACTTACAGTTTCTTCATCTTTAACTTAAAATAACAGTACCTATTTCTTGGGGTAGTTATAATATTAATGATGATAGTGCATGTAAATTACTTAACAAAGCAAATATTCAAATAAATGTTAATGATTAGTAAGAATATTGGCAGTAGCAGTAGTAATTTAATATTAATCAGTCATTCAACTCTCTGCTGGCATTTTGGCTGCTTTGTGTGAAGGCAAATGTTATTAACCTGGGGTAGAATAAAAGAAAGGTAGAACATTTGTGCCCCTTGATATTTTGGATTTCTCAGCCCAATTTTTTTTAATTTTTTATTTTGAAACAATAAAAAGAAGAAAGTTATAAGTACAGAGAGGTCTCTTGTATGCTTCATTTAGTTTCCTTGCATGATCACAACTTTTGTAGTTATAGAAAAATATCACAAGCAGGAAATTGACACTGGTATAGTTTGCATGTGTGTCATTTTGTCATATGTGTAGATTTGTGCGACTGTAACCACAATCAAGATATAAAACTATTCCATCACCACAAACATACTCTGAACTAACCCCTATAGAGTCACACCTCTCTTTCCCCACCATCTAAAACTCCTTGCAACCACTAATTTATTCTCTATCTCTTTAGTTGTGCCAATTTGAGAATGTTATATAAATGGAATCAAGTACGTGACCTTTTGAGATTTGTGATGATGCCCTTGGGATCCATCCAATGTGTTTCATGTTATCAGTAGCTTGTTTCTTTTAATTGTTGAGTGGTATTCCATGGTATACTATAGCACCACAGTTTGTCTAACTATTTACCTATTTTAAGATGTGTTTGTTCTTTTCAACTTTTGCTAATAAAGTTTCTATGAACAATCATGTATGAGTTTTTGTGTGGAGGTAAGTTTTCATTTCTGTGGGTTAAATGCTGAGGAGTGCAGTTGCTGCACCATATAGTAAAGCATATTTTAGGATTTTCTCTTTTTGAAAAAGAAACTGCCAAATTATTTTCCAAAGGATGTAACATTATGTAATGTCCCTTTGTATCCCTGGTAATTTTCTTTGCTCTGAGGTCTGCTTTATCTGATAATATAGCTTCTCTCACTTTCTTTTAATGTTTTATAACTTTTTCATCTTTTCACTTTCAACTTACACATATTATTATATTTGAAGTAAGTTTCTTGTAGATAGCATATAGTTGGGTCAATATTTATTTAATCCACTCTACAAATCTCTGTCTTTTAATTGGCTTATTTAGACCATTTACATGTAGTTTACACATTCTATTTAATGTAATTGCTGAAAGGACTTAGGTCTGTTATTTTATTTTTTCTTCTCTCTGTATTTTGTTTCTGTTTTCTTTATTCTTCCTTCCTGTGAGTTACTTGAACATTTTTTAAAGAATTCCACTTTTATGTATCTATACTGTTTGTGAGTATATCTCTTTGCACAGCCTTCTAGGTGGTTGCTCTAGATATGGCATTATAAATACATAACTTGTCAGTCTGCTGGTGTTGTTATTTTACCAGTTTGAATGAAATGTAGAAAGTTTACCTCCCTTTACACCCTTTATTATTCCTCATTTACAAATGTTCTAAATATTTCTTCTACATACATTGGGAACTACATCAGAAAATGATATAATTTTTGCTTTAATGATCAGACATAATTTAGAAAACTCAAGAGAAAAAAATCCTATTGTATTTACCCATATTTTTACTTTTTATGTTCTTCTTTTCTGATGCTTTAAGATCCTTCTTTTAAATTTCCTTTATATTTAGAGAGCTTCTTTTAGCTGTTATTTTAATGTAGGTCTTCTGGTGCAAATTCTCTAGTTTCCTTCCATGTGAGAATGGCTTATTTCCCCTTTATTCCTGTCGGATATTTTTAGTGGATAGAGGATTCTGGATTGGCAGTTTTCTTTTCTTTTAGACCCTGAAAAACATTGCAGCTCTTCTGGCCTCCATGGTTTATTATGAAAAATCTGTTGTCATTCAAACTGGGGTTTTCCCCCTAAAGTTAAGGTGCCTTTTCTCTTTCACTGCTTTCAAGATTTTTTGTCTTTATATTTCAGAAGTTTAACTCTGATGCGTTTTGCTGTAAATTTCTTTCTGTTTAGGATTTACTCACTTTCTTGAATCTATAGGTTTATGTCTTTTGCCGAATTTGAGAGGTGATCAGCCATGATTTCTTCAAATAATTTTTTAGCCCCCCTCTCTCCTCTCTTTCTGCAATTCCAATGTGTTAGATATTTTGTAAGACTTTCACCAATTTCTGAGGCTCTGTTCATTTCTATTTGGTTGACTTTCTCACTGTTATTCAGATTGGATAGTTTCCATTATTCTTGCTTCTGTTCATTTACTTTTCCTCTATTCCTCCCATTTCACTGGTGAGCCCACACATTTAATTTTGTATTTATTATTGTACTTTTTAATTCTAATATTTCCACTTGTTTTTTCTTTACATCTTCTATTTCTTTGTTGTGATTGTATCTTTTCTGAGACTTCCCATTTTTTCATTTGTTTGAAGCATGTTGACAACTGATCATTGCAGCACTTTATGATGACTGCTTTAAAATCCTTATGAAATGGTGGGTATTCATCCTTTCTGATGGCTGAGTAATATTCCATTTTATATATGAACCACACCTTCTTTATCTATTCATCTTGAAGGACATCTCAGCTCCTTCCACAATCCTTATCAGATGATTTTAAGATCCGTGTCATCTCTATGTTAGCATCTGTTCATTGTCTCTTCTCATTTAAGTTGACATTTTCCTCATTCTTAGTAGGACAAATGATTGTCTATTAAAATCTGGGTGTTTTCATATTGTACTTCTGGATCTCACTGATATGTCTCTTAGCAGGCCTCCTCTGACAGTGCTCTTCAGGGAAGAGGGACACCACCTCATCACTGCAGTGGGGACTGAAGGCTAGTTTCCTCATTCAGTCTCTGTTGACACAGGTGGGGGGGATTCTTCATCACATTTGGATGGGATAGGAATTCAGCCTCCCCACCCAGGCCTCTGCTGATACTATTCTCACTGGAAAGAGCAGGAGTATCTCATCACTACTCCCCACATGCCTCTTCTCACACTAGCTCAGTGAGGAGAAACAGAAGTCTGGGCTTTCCATGTGGCCTCCACTATCACCACAGGGAGCGGGGCAGCGGTGGGGGGGCATGTTGACACTCAGTGAGGTAAAAGCTCTGGCACCCTATTTGGCTTTCTCTGACACCATTTCAACTTGAGTGCTAGGCTCCTCATTACAGTCTCAAGAGGGTGAAAAATCTACATTCCCCACTCAAGCTTTGCCAGGGGGTCAAGGGATTGTGGAGCCTCATTTTTCCTGCAGTATTTTCCTGGAGTAAAGCACTTATCTAAATGCTGTCATAATGGGCTGCCCCATCCTGGCCTTTTGGCCAGAGAGAGCAACCTTTCGCTGAGATGTTTTTTTATCTGCCCCTGTTGTCATTTCCAGGTTTCCACCTTCTTCATCTCCAAGTCTGAGATACAAAGCAAAAAGGAAACCCAGGGTATAAGCTTCCTATAGCTGCTGTCAAATTTTCACAAACTTGGTGACTTCAAACCGTAGACACTAGTTCTCAGTTCTGGAGCCATGAAGTCTGAAATCAAAGGTGTTGGCAGGACTGTGCTCCCCCCAGAGGCTCTAAGGGAGAATCTGTTCTTTGCTTCTTCCAGCCACCGGTGGCTGCTGGCTTTGCTGGGCTGTGGTACATCACTACCCTCCCTGCCTCTGTCTTCACACACCTTCTCCTCCACGTTTCTTTGCTAAATCCTTCTCTGCCTCTCTCTCATAAGGAAAACTGTCTTGGGTCTCTTAGACATCAGGGCCTGGACTCCCCACTCCTTTCACAGAGGCCTACCTTGTGTCTGTCCTTCCTAGCTGCCATTCATAAAAGCAAGGCAGGTGGGTGGGGGAGGAAGAGGTCACTTTAAAAATTCAAAGCAAAGCCATAAAGGTTGGTAAAATATTATTAAAAGAATAAAGTATCATTTGAAATTACATAAAATAAAGCTACAAACAAAACAATTAGGTCATATAACTAAAAGATATTTTTTAAAGTAAGAACTTAGAAGTTGAACAAGGTTTAAATCAATAATTAAACATCATTAGAGAGGTAAATTAAGTAAAAAATTTTAAAATGTTAAAAAAAATCTTGAGTAAATTAGCTAAAGGCTGAATGTACACATATCCTATTATCCAGGATTCCACTCTTAGTTGTGTACTCAACAGAAACTCATGCATATGTCTACCATTAGACACACACATGCATATTTATTCTTAATAGCTTTTATTCTTAGAAACTAGAAACTACCATAAAGTTCATTATCAGTAGAATAGATAAGTATAGTGTAGTATAATCACAAAATAGAAGTCTACACAATCTTAAAGTGAGCTACAATTACACACAACATGAAAGAATTCAGAAATATGTTGAATGAAAGAAGCCAGAAACAAAAGAATATATATTGTATGATTCCATTTGTAAAAGCTCAACCAACAGGCCAAACTCAGCTAGAATGGTAGGATCTGGAGAGGCTCCTCACCTGTAACATGGAGGTGAGAGTTGCTATTTCATAGGTTGTTGGGATAACCAAATGAGAAAGTGAGGACAGCAGGCCCGTGCATATCACCCACTCAGCCTTCCATGACTTTAGATCTGCAGAACTGGATGCTTCTGCCTTCTCTCTTGCATGAGAATTTCCCCACCTTTAACACTGCACCTCCACTCTCCCTTCTCTCTTAAGACACTCAGGTGAATTTGAGGTTCTTATTTGTGTATTTACTCTTCCCCTTTGGAAATCCTCTCTCAAGTTGCCATTATAAGTATGCCAGTGGGTCTGGTCACTGAGGAGGTTCTCAGCCTTCATCTGATCCCCATTTCTGGTCCAGTGTACACCAACTCTGCTCAACTATGAGTCACAGGAGGGAAGATGCTGTAGGTCTCATTCCTCCAGCAGTGAGCACATGGGAGGCTCAGGAGCTCTCTGTGAAGAAAAGAGTTCACACGGCCAGCCCAGACTGCTGTCCTTGGAAAGGCCCACTTGTGAAGTTGGCCTTGGTTGGAGGGTGGGGACTTGGATGGCAAACGGTTCCATATATATATATACTGATATAAACTCTCTCTAAGTGATGAGAGGCCCTCATTGTGTCTGTACTCTTTATACAGTGTGACTTATGCTGAATAACTTTTCTCCTTCTGGGAGTCTGAAGTTTGGACACATCCTAGGCAGAAGCTGCTTATGTGCAGGGAAAAACCCATGGCACTGAGTCTCTAATGAGCTTCCCTGGGAAATACATTTCACACATGCTATCACAACTCACTACTGGGGAATTAAGCACATACCATCTGACTGTACCAGGAAAGGAGTCTGGAAAACTGCACCTAGTTCCCTGAACTTTTCCACATTAACTTTTTCCCCATTGCTGATTTTGTCTGATACCCTTTCACTGTAATAAGTCATAGCTGTGAGTACAACTGTGTGCTGAGTCCTGAGGGTCTTTCTACTGAGTTACTGAACCAGTGAACTTGGGGACCTCAGCCACACTCACAAAGATACATAAGTTACAGAGAGTATGGGGAAAAAAGAGAGTTCCTGCAAGCTCAGGCTGGTGGTCAGAAATTGCCTGAATCACAACAAACCTCAAAGACATGCACTGAAGTAGAAAAACTATGAGTTTCCTCCAAAGAGTTAACATCCTTCTGTTCAAATTGCACCCACCCCCTAAGGGCCACTGAACATGTGCATGAGTGTGAGTGTGTGAGCATGTGAGGAATGTGAGTGTGTGTCTGCATATGTGTGAGTGTGTCTGTGTATGAGTGCGTTGTGAGTGTGCACATGCACTTATGCAAGTGTGCATGTGTGCATGAGTACGAGCAGGTGTGTGGAGATCCTGCTGAGGGGGATGAGGCCCTTCAGAAGTCTAATAGAAAGCGCACAGTGTGACCATCTAAGTTTTTATCAAACATCTTTGCACCAATGCATTCAAGCCTCCAGACAAGAGTTGTTCCAGAGTTGGTAATAGTTCATCCAGGGCACAGTGTACACCAAAAAATCACAAATGAAACTCTGTGGAAGGAGAAAGAAAACAGCTTTCAGGGAAATATTTTTTGAAGGTGAACAAAAAACTCCTGCCCTCCAACAAGCCCTTATCTGGGGTATCTGGACCAGTCTCTGTGTCTGCTCAATGACCACATGGGTGAGGGAGATCTGCTCACAGTCACATGGTGGGGGTGGAGTGGGCCGGCCTGAACAGGGATGTCACCTGGGTGCCCCCTGCCCAGTCATTGGGACCTGGAACAGGTGCACCTGGAGCCTGCAGCCCAGCCAGATGCTGGGATGAAGTCTGGGCAGGACAGCCTGGGACAGCTACATTGCCCAAAGCCCCAGTCCTCCTGCTCCTGCACTCAGGCACAAAGTGTCCCTCGTGTCTGCCAGCTTGCAGGTGGTTGCACCAGGTGGTACTGGGAAAAGCCGGAAAAGATGGGCAGAGGTTGGAAGACAAGAAGGAAACTAGACAATTCCCAGGAATATAGAGAGTATGAGCCGAGGGCAGAGCAAAGCCCCAGGGAAAGTAAACCACTTCCACCTGAGGGGCAGGGGTGATACTGCCAGGGCCGGGGCTATAACAGCTCAGGGTGGGGAGACTGCCCAATTAGAGAGCCTTCCTCCCACCTCTGGGCACCTCCAATGCATCAGGCAGCCCTAAGCCCCATATCCACACAGCTAGAAAAGCTGTCAATGTCCACTTTTGGTCTACTTTTTAAAATTTTACTTTTCCCCCTTTGATCACAAGTCCCTGCTCAAATGACTGCCACCACACACCTTTTTCAGCTTCTTTTTGCTTTGAATGGGACATGAATTACTTGTGCTATTCCTCTTGCATTTGGTCCGGCTAATCTTCACAGTTACCATATACTCCACTCCAGTTGTGAGCTACCGAGAAACAGCAACACTGTTAGTGTTGACTCCAAGCATCCAGTTGCTGACTCTCCCCAGGAAAAGCTAGGAGATGAAGCCCCAGGAGCCACAATCCCTGTTTCCAGAGCTCATCCAGTAAAACCATGGCTCCCTCTTCTCCTCCCAGCTGGAGGATGCACAGTGACAGTTGAGGCCCTTGGTCGGCCCCCAGCATGTGCAGAGCCCTTCCCCTTGCTCTGGACTGGCCTCACTTTTGCAGTCACAGATGGCTTCTCACTTGTCTCCCTTGCATCCTCAGGATGAGGGACTGGCAATACACTGAGCTTGGCTGCCCGGCAGCCCCAGAATACCCCCCATATCTATACACATGATCCTCAGAATGCACAGGGGTGCATCTTGTCCCTCAGTTTCATCCTTGCCTCCCTCCCTACTCTCCTTCCCAACCAACCTGATGGAAAACAGTTTAAAAACACAGCTAAAAAACACAGGCTTAGAAACTGAATTGATTTGGGGCATTCATTTCCCTCCTACTAACCCTGCACCCTTGAGCAAATGCCCAGCAGCCTCCCTTTCTTCAACTACAGAGTTCAGATAATAATTGTGCCTGCTCAAGGAGTTGTTACATGGGCTAAAGAGAAGCATGCATCTCAGTGAATGCACAAAGCAAATTCTAAAATAATTCATTACGAATTATTAAATGTTTTAGCAAAGTGTGGGGAACATTACTCTGAAGCAGCTATGGAGTTAGGAAAGCAACAGAACAGAAGACAGAAGAACTGTGCTCAAGTTCTGGCTTTATCCCCGGCTAACTCTGTCTCCTTGGCCAAGCCCCGCCACCTCTCTGACTCAATTTCCTCATCTAGAGAATGGGAAGAAGAGTGCCAATTTCCTCCTAGGGTGTATGCAAACAGTGAATGTGTAAACCATGGAGAACACACACCAGGGTTAGTCCCGGCTGTTGGGATCTGTCTTGCTGTGCTCATGATCAAGTGCCAGGCTGTAAGGACTGTGAGGTCAGGAATGCTGGGAAAGCCCATTGTGGCAGGACCTGCACCCTGAAGTGAAACTGCAACAAATGCTTTGGTGATTCATGTCCTCTCTTGGAAACAGCTGGGTCCCTCAAGTCAACACACTGGATAGAGAGCTCTGCCCTGGGGAGGGGAGAAGCTCCTGGAAGTTCCCTGCTTCCTTGTTCCTATGTCAGGGTCAAATCAACCGAGAGGGCTTGGTACTCTCCCTGGTGGTGGTAGAGGGAGAGAGCACCCACACTGCCCCCTAGAGGAAAGTGCCCCCAGAAAAGCTCAGGGTGGTTGCAGGGGAAGGAGGCCTGAGGGCGTTATGGCCATCCTGGTCCCAACATCTGCCACCTGAAGAACCTCAGGATGCAGGGCTCCAAGCTCTTCATCAAAGGACGACGGTTCCATCCAGGTGTTGGCATCTTACAGGGCTTTCACACTGACTTTCAGCATACTCCATAGGTATGAAAAATCTAAAACACCGGCCATAAATTTTACTGACATTCCAGTGTGCAAAGTGTTTTAGTATTCATTATTAGATTGGATTGCTAGGTAATAAGAGGAATCATCATAGTCATACAAATATTTTCACGAGTGCGACTTCACTCTTATTCTGCCCACTTGCCGATGAGGAAACAGGCCTGGAGATAATGAGTGGCGCTTGACATAGATCTCACAATTAGAGGGACCTGGAACCTAGGTGCAGGCAGCTCATCAGGCCCACCTCCTATACCCCTCTGTGGGGTATTAGGATGCACACATCATGTGGTGAAAGGACCCAGGTCACCTAGCTACCTCAGGGCACACACACTGTCCTTTTATCCATCTGAATGACATTAAAAGGTTGTTCATAAACTATTCTTTGAGAGTTAACTGTTTTGTTTTGTTTTTAAAGATTTTATTTATTTATCTGACAGAGAGAGACACAGCGAGAGAGGGAACATAAGCAGGGGGAGTGGGAGAGGGAGAAGCAGGCTCCCCGCGAAGCAGGGAGCCCAATGCGGGGCTCGATCCCAGGACCCTGGGATCATGACCTGAGCCAAAGGCAGACGCTTAACGACTGAGCCACCCAGGCACCCCGAGAGTTAACTGTTAACGATAATGGACTGATTCCACAAGACAGACCTCCTGGGAGTCTCAGATTTATCCTTGAGAAGTATGGCCTGGGAGAACAAGCCAACTTGGCAAGAATTTTGGTCAACAGCCGCCACCTTGTGGCCAAGTCACCTCAGTGTTTGTGGGCCTGATGAGCCACCATCTTGGGGCAAGAGTATGTGACTGAAACAGGGACCGGCTGATGTCCACATTGTGATGTCAGGCCTGCTTCGTATCACACTAACACTGCCTGCCCCTCTATGCGCCCCACCTTTGCTGGTTTCTCCTGTTCCCACTGTCCCTCTCTCTCTGGGCCAGAGACCTTTTCTCCGGTCAATTTTTTTTTCCAAATCGGGTTAATTGAACTAAAATGTGCTATTGCCTCTGCCCTAACTTACATATAGTTTACTATGTAAACTTGAAGGGAAGTGGGACCCACAAAAGTGGTTTTCAAACAACTTTTCTTTCCTCCATCACCCTCAATTGATGTATTTCAAAAAAACTTTGTATGCAAAACACATAAAAACACATAAAAAGAGACATGATCTGGTTGAAGTCTGTTCCTCACTCCCCCTTCTGTGCCCTGTGCAATCCCAGATTTCTACAGAATACAACTAGAAAGTTCAGACTTGACAGCCCTGGACACTGAAAAACTATGTTGAGGGGGAACCTACAGAGAACATTTATATTTCACCAAAGCAGAAACAAAGTCATCTTCGTCAGCTGTCACTCTGGTAGGACTAATTTCAGAACAAAAGGCAATTCTTCCCAAGAAAGAACAGTTGAGAACCTCAGAGACTGTTTTTACTTCAGACCAAGAGTAACAGAGTAAGGTTTCATTCCAGTCATTCAGCTAGCATTTCAAAGCATGGTGAAGGCAAGTCTGGGGTCCAAACAACTCCAAACATGCTCATCCCAAATGAAGCCTCCCCCCACCTTGGTGAAACCATCACTTGATTCTCTCTGGGAGCCATACCATGTCCCCGGATGTCCAAGTGGGCCCTGCCCACATCCAGAGAAACTGAAGCACAAACCTGCATCTGACTTCGAAGTAGCTTGTCGACTTGAAATAAGTAGGTGTCATTGCTAGCATTGTTGTAGGTTTCCATGAAGAATTGGAGCGTTGAATTCATGTTTGTCTTGCTCATGGACTTCTCCTGGAAGCCTTCCCACCTTTGAAAATGACCTAGTCTGGCTTCCAGGATCAGGACAGCCAACAGCAACAAAGGGTTCCTCCAACATCCAACTCCCATCTTGTAGCCTCGGAAACCTTCTAACCACTGCACCTGCCAGGGTAGGGTTGGAGCCAGAATACAACTCACTCACCCTCCCGCAGCGGCCCTTGCCCAGTGGGCTTGCCCAGGTTAAGCAGAGATTGAGACCCCAGCCTTATCCTTTCAAGGCTCTGCCCCCAATCTGACCAAAGGACCAACCCAGGAAATCTCCCTGCGTGGTTGCTCAACTCTCTTTCAGGTTTGTACATTTTCCACATATTTATGACACCCACTTGGTTCTTCTATTATTCAGGCAAGTGTAATTTCTAAACACCTGCCAAGATTGGCAAGACCCTCTCCTTGCCTTCGTATTTATCAAGGAAGAAAGCCCCCAGAACAGAGCTCTACAGTGCTATGCCATAAGAAGTATATTGGACAGAGAAGCGCCATTGGTGGGAATTGGGGAAGACTTATGGAGAAAGTAATATTTTAACTGGGTGGGATATGAGGAATCAAGATATGGGACAGGGCGTGATACATTCTACTTACCTGCTGTGGATTCTACCTTTTTAACCCAGCCATCAACTATTCCCTATGCCTCCTTTAGAGATAAGTTCTCTTTACTCTCCTGCCTCCTTTCTCACCACAGATTTCTGCCTGCTGGATCCCACTATACCTGCAGGCCCTGGCACTAGCTCTTGCTATCTTGGTGTGACCCCAGCAGACCTTTGTGAGGTAATATTAGCCTCCCTGTGAGGAGGGAATAAACTCTGATCCTTGTTCACAAATTAATCCTAAAGACCCCTGAAGGTTAGGTGTTGCTTATTTGGGGCAGGAAAAATTTTCCTCAACCCTCTTTGGGTCTCTGGATGGACCTAAGAATTAAACTAACAGGAGAAAAGCATACAGGTTTTATTGACATTTTGTATTTGCATGGAGCCTTCACAAGAAAATGAAGACGTGAAGAAGTGGCCAGAACAAAAAGCTTATATACCCTGTAGACAAAGAAACAATAAATGTGTGAAGAATAGACAAGACAAGGGGGTTTGGACTAGGGATAATAAATGGTGAAGAGATAACAAGGTTTGTTTCTACAGTCTTATCCCCCATCTCTGGGGATAAGGATGTCCTCCATCTTCCTGGCACATGGAAGGCACCTTTCACATGGGAGATTTATCTTCTGTTTTTAGGGAAGAAGGCCTCCAGGTGGGGGGTGGGGGATGATCAGATTGTCCTTCCTGTTTCACCATTTTCTCAAACTCCTTAGGCTTAAGATCTTCAATGCACCAAAGTGCCAAATTTGGGGGTAACATGCCCTGAACCCATTACCTGCATCCAGAAGCCTGGAATAGCTCCTCATTTTTAAGACTTTTGTTAAGGCGGGATCCTGAATGGGGTCCTGCAGCAGAAAAAAAGAATTAGTGGGACAATTGATGAAATGTGAATCAAGTCTGTAGATCAGTTCATAGCACTGCACCGATGTTAACTTCCTAGTTTTTACCGTTGCACTGCACTTACATGAGATGCTAACATTTGGGCAAGTGGGGTGAACATTTTATGCTATTTTTGTAGCCTTTTTGTAAGTCTGAAATTATTTCAAAATAAAGGTTAATTTTTTTAAATTTTTTTGTTTAAATTCAATTTAGTTAACATATACTATATTATTAGCTTCAGGGATAGAACTCTCTTCAGCAACCCTCAGTTTATTTCCTAGAGTTTAAGAGTCTCTTATGATTTTCCTCCCTCTTTGTTTTCATCTTATTTTTTTTAATTAGATATTTGCAAATGACACTACAGATAAAGGGCTGATATCCAAGATCTATAAATAACTTCTCAAACTCAACACCCAAAAAACAAATAATCAAGTCAAAAAATGGGCAGAAGACATGGACACTTCTCGAAAGAAGACATACAAATGGCTAACAGATGCATGAAAAAAATGTCCATCATCATTAGCCATCAGGTAAGTTCAAATCAAAACCACATTGAGATACCACCTTACACCAGTTAGAATGGCAAAAATTGACAAGGTAAGAAACAACAAATGTTGGAGAAGTTGTGGAGAAAGGGGAACCCTCTTACACTGTTGGTGGGAATGCAAGTTGATACAACCACTTTGGAAAACAGTGTGGAGGTTCCTCAAAAAGTTAAAAATAGAGCTACCCTATCACCCAGAAATTGCACTACTGGGCATTTACCCCAAAGATATAGATGTAGTGAAAAGAAGGACCACATGAACTGCAATGTTCATAGTGGCAATGTCCACAATAGCCAAACTGTGGAAAGAGCTGAGATGCCCTTCAACAGATGAATGGATAAAGAAGATGTGGTCCATATACACAATGGAATATTACTCAGCCATCAGAAAGAATGAATACCCAACTTTTGCATCAACATGAATGGAACTGGAGGAGATTATGCTAAGTGAAATAAGTCAAGCAGAGAAGGTCAATTATCATATGGTTTCACTTATTTGTGGAACATAAGGAATAGCATGGAGGACATTAGGAGAAGGAAGGGAAAAATGAAAGGCGGGAAATCAGAGGGTGAGACGAACCATGAGAGATTATGGACTCTGGGAAACAAAATGAGGGTTTTAGAGGGGAGGCGGGTGGAGGGATGGGTTAGCCCAGTGATGGGTATTAAGGAGGGCATGGGTTGCTTGGAGCATTGGGTGTTATATGCAAACAATGAATCATGGAACACTACATCAAAAACTAATGATGTAATGTATGGTGATTAACATAACAATAAAATAGTTTAAAAAAACTAATGATGTACCATATGTTGACTAACATAACATAATAAAAAAATAAAAATAAATAAATTCAATTTGCTAACACGTACTACATCCTTAGTTTCAGATGTAATGTTCCACAATTCATTAGTTGCATATAACACCCAGTGCTCATCACATCACATGCCCTTCCCAATGCCCATCACCCAATTATCCCATCCCCCCATCCACCACCCCTCCAGCAACCCTGTTTTTTTCCTAGAGTGAAGAGTCTCTCATGGTTTGTCTACCTCTCTAATTTCTTCCCATTCAGTTTTCCCTCCCTTCCCCTATGATCCTCTGCGCTATTTCTTATATTCCACACATGAGTGAGACCATACATTTGTCTTTCTCCGATTGACTTATTTCACATAGCAAAATACCCTCCAGTTCCAACCATGTCGATGTAAATGATAAATATTCATCCTTTCTGATGGCTGAGTAGTATTCCATTGTATACATAATTCATCTGCTGAAGGACATCTCAGCTCCTCCCACAATTTGGCTATTGTAGACATTGCTGCTATGAACATTGGGGTGCAGGTGCCCCTACTACATCTGTATCTTTGGGGTCAATACCTAATAGTGCAATAGCTGGATATTCATCTTATTTTATTTTTCCTTCCTTTCCCCTATGTTCATCTGTTTTGTTTCTTAAATTCCACAAAATAAAGGTTAAAATGTTCAAAAATAAATAGGACCTTAGTCTTTGGGAAGGGGTACACATGCAGTACTACCTTGCAATCCAACTCTCCTGGGTTCAGATCCCTTGCTGGGTGACTCAGAGAGACAGTTAATCTCTGAGCCTCAGTTTCTTCATCTATAATATGAGAATGGGAAAAACTACTAATCTTGGTTTGTGGTGGAAACTAAATCCACATACCGAACAACCTGTTCTCAGGTCAGGCATCAGTCAGTGCTCGGAAACATCTTCTGGGTGATTCTTTCAAGACTCTGAACCCACACAATGAAGCCCATGGCCTGTCAGACCCCAAATGCCCTAGGACCCAGACCACCCTCCAGTGTGAAAATCCTACTAGGACCTGTTACAACATCACTGCTGACCCTCAAAGCCTGCCTTGTAAGACTTGTCCAGCTGATGGAAGTGGCCACTTTGGAACACCCTGGGCCAAAGGTGCAGGAGCACCATTGTCAAATAGATGCATAAGGGTTCCAAGTAATGTGTGTGCAGACTGCCTTGGAAATCTGAGCTATTCCCATTGGACTGTGGATCTGAGGAAGGAAATGTAATATTCAATGGACTATATCAGAAAATCTACGAACAGGGGGCCAAATACATAAAAAAATTGATCTACTTAAAGAAATACGCACCTTGGTTATAACCATAAAGTAAGGGAAAAATGAATCCCCAGTAATTTGCACGGAATAAGAAAAAATATATAGACCCTGGCTATCCCCATAGAATAAAACAGAAAAAGGGAACCCTATCTACCACACCTGGAGTTCTTTGGCTTATGGTGGCAGAATTCCAATCTCACTTCCCTCCACATGGCCTTCTCATCTGTCTCTTTATCTCAAATTTCTCCCACCTTTCTCTTAAGAATGCCAGTCATTGGATTTGGGACTACCCTAAATCCAATGTGATCTCATCTCAAGATCCTTAACTTAATTATGTCTGCAAAGACTTTAAATCCAAATAAGTTCACATTCATGGGTACTAGGGGCAACGACTTGCACATATATTTTTGGGGAACACAATTCAACACACTAAATTGTCCACAGAATAAGAAGAAAATTGAGAGTATAAGTGTGTCCATATATACTAATTTCCCATGTTTTTTGTAATAAATTAACATGAGTTTGGTGGCTTAAAACCACAGAAATGTATTGTCTTTTAATTCTGGAGGCCAGAAATATGAAGTCATTTTCACTAGACCAAAATCAAGGTGTTGGCAGCGCCATACTCCCTCCAGAGGCTTTGGGGAAAAATCCACTGGTTGTCGTCATTCCTTGGCTTGTGGCCACAACGCTCCAATCTCTGCTTCTATGGGCATATGCCCTCCTCTTCTGTCTGCCTCCCTCGTATAAGGATATATGGGTGGTATTTAAGGCCCATCTGAGAAATCCAGAATGATCTGTCCATCTCAAGATCTTGAACTTAATCACATCTGTAAACTTCTTCTTTACCACATAAGACAATGCTCACAAGTTCCAGGGGGTCATTATTCAGCCTATCACACCATGGAGTCAGGAAAAATAGGAAGAGTGATTATTTCCATGGAAGGAGGGGGACAGGGGCCCTGGTCATGTCCCTGGAGAAGGAAAAAAGAGAAATAAACACATCCATGGAAATGAGAGGAAATAGGAGGCCTCATCAATTCCATGCTTAAAGGGAAAACAGGTATCCTGGTTACGTCTGTGGAATAAGTGAAAAATAGGAGACCTGATAATATTCATGGGATAGGTTGAAGATAGGGATCAGCATTATATCCATGAATCAGTGGAAAAATACAGGAGGATGGATGATTTCCATAGCTTGAGGGGGAAATGGTGGTTTTGGTTATGTTCATGGAATGAGGAGAAAATAGGATTCCAACAATGTTTGGTATAACGGATAAGCAGGGGCTTGGTTAAGATTATGGAATAAAGAGAAAATGAATGGCCTGGTTATATCCAGAATAGATTGTGAGAAAAGGCAGTGATATAATGCCCATAGAATGAAGGGGAAATGAGGGACTCTTGTCATATCCATGGAATATGGTGAAAATAAGGGGTCTGGGAATGTCCATGAACTAAGAGAAAAATACTAAACCTGATAAAATCCATAGAAAGGGAAAATATTAGGCCTAATTATTTCCATTCAATGAGGAGAAAATACAGGGCTGGGTGTGTCCGTGTAATGCAGGGAAAGTAGGGGGCCTGGTTATGT